GGTGCTTTAGAAATTGCACATTAGAGTTTGTAACTGCTACAGTGCCACACGGCAACTCATAAGAACATACGAATGGCCAGACCGGGTTAGACCAAAGGTCCATCTAGCTCATGGGTTCCCAAACTGGGGGGCATGAAGAAATTCCAGGGGGGGCACAAGTTCCAGCCCCCACCCCCATCAAGTTTTGCTGCCCCGGTCAGTTTTTTTCCCCCTCTGATATGAGGGAGGGGGGGAGAAGAGGCATGGGGTTTCTCAAAAATAAAAAAGGTGTGATGCCGAAAAGTTTGGGACCCACTGATCTAGCCCAATATCCTGTCTTCCAACCATGGCTAATGCCAGGTGTCCCCAGAGGGAACGGACAGGACAGGGAACCACTAAGCAATCCCACCATTGTCACTAATCCCCAATCTGACACACAGCCTCTTTCCTACCCATCCTCCCTAACAGCTATTGACGGACCTATCTTCCATGAACGTACCTAGCTCTTTTTTTAACCTTGTTACAGTCATGGCCTTCACAACATCCTCTAGCAAGGAGTTCCACAGGTTTACTGCACTGTGTGAAGAAATCGTGCCTTTTGTCTTAAACCTGCTACCTATCGGTTTCATTGGGAGGCTCCTAGTTCTTGTGCTATGGGAGCAAGTAAATACCTTTTCCTTATTCCTTTTCTCCGCATCAGCAGTAATTTTATAGACCTCTAGCGTATCTTCCCTTAGTCTACTCTTTCCTAATCTGAAAAGTCCCAGTCTTTTTAACCTCTCGTCATATGGCAGCTGTTCCAATTGCCTCCCCTGCCCCCCGAGCTGTCCAGAAAGTCCTGCCTCTTTCCCCAAAGGATGCTGCAGTTCAGAGCGCACAGATTATTTCCGGTGGCATACATTTCCTTAGTGCTTTCCTAGGCCTCCCCTCTGCCATCCCTCCCAAATTTCATTTGCCTGGAATCTCAAACTGCTTTGGCTTGTAATGGCCAGAAGAGCTGTGTGTGTCAGCTGGACTTCAGAACTTGCTCTCCACTGCTCAGCTCATTAGAGGCGAGATTTCAGCCGCACTCCGTGTTGGCCTAACTCAGATCATTGACTTCAATGGAGCAGTGAGGACAATGCAGAGTGCTTTTGGAAACCCCAACCTCAGATGTATTAACGGGAAGACCTCACTATTCATGGTTTTCCACGTCAAAAAGCTTGCTTCCTATCACTGAAGGCTCTCGACTGTGCTATTTACCCCATCATTGTTTTCCTTTGCTGGTTATAAGAGGCCTTTTAAGACCCTTTTGAAAAATCCAGCAAATATACCCCTTGAGTCAGCTCTTAACTTTTGCAAGGTGCAGGGACACTTTCGAGAGGGACAATTCCCTGTGCAGAAGTTGTTTGACCTGAAGTGCTGTGCTACAGTATCCTTAATTACATGCTAATTCTCCAGCTGTGCATCTTGGCATCCCCCTCTAGGCATAAACCAAATCCGGCGCCTTTGTTTTGCCAACGGAGCTGCTTATGAAGCAAGTAGCTTCTTTTTGCGACCATCACTTTCACGCTCAGCCTGGCTTATCACAGCCAAGTCTGAAACTACCCTGCCTGGATCAGTTACTGGTGGTCACGAAGGGCGCTGTCAATTTCCAGCAGCTCTCTTGGTGCAAAAAACGTGTCAGGAAGAACACACCTGACACGTGGCCAGTGAGAATGGAGGAGGAACCTTCTGATTGGTTCTGGCTGTCCATGCCAGCCCACACTTCTCCACATACTTGCTAAATGACGTCCATGAAATCATAAGAGCATAGCACATCCACTGACACGTACATTAACTTTCACTACTTGTGCATCCCCTGAAGCAGGACACAGACCCATGCAAACTGTGCAGTTGTGTGGTGCCCTCTAGCGGCCAGTCTTTAGACATGAAGCATTTGTTCAGCTCAACCAAAGTGCGGAATTATTTTCTCCTACCTATTTTCAGGTGTTTTTTCCAACAAAGGCAAATGTTTAAGAAAACTAAAATTGACCCTGGATTCAATCAATCAAGAGCACTGCTTCAAGTCATTCTTCAACTGAGAAAGCTGGGACAGAGCGCAACAAAAGAGAGCCAATGTTAAGGAAGGCCCCGACCCCAAAATGTGTATTTTCTGCCCGTTTATAGACTCAAGCAGAGGAAAGCTCTACTTCACAAGGGGCCAGAAGGTTTGGACATGCAACAAACCTTCTCTGACTCTCCAGGTCAGATCAGATCTGTCTTCAGGTCTATTGATTTGTAGCTGTCAAGCACCGAAACCTTCTCTCCTTGGAGGATGCTTTCTCTGAAATTCCCAGAGGTCCAAGGCTATGCCTGAAGGCAGATGCCTACTCTGAAAGTTCTACATGTGAACTCTGCTTGCTGTGCAGCTGAGTTTGAGATCGGGAGGAGGAAACAGATGGTCTCACTGATGTTACTGAATTATAATTGGCCATAGTCCGTTACAACCCAAGAATTCTATCGGCAAAACAGCTTGGATTACCTGTGGAGCACGGTTCTAGCGACAGTTTTCATACTAAAAACTGGGTGAATTTGATGTTTTAAAAAATGAGACAGTTAACATATTGTCTGGCTATAGCGAATTAAGGGGCAGATTCCTTTCACGCTGCTCTGCTCAGACACCTCATACCAACATGAGGCCTTTCCTGAGTGGAGTCTGCCAGCTGTATCATGCTGTTATATGTGTCAACATCTAACAAGGGACCTGGTCAGGATGATCAAAATTGCATCTATCTTTTGGATGAGATATAACCAGGAGTCCTGACCACACTTGGGGTAAAAGGCGTATTTAATAAAAATGGAGCTTAAAGCCAAATTCTAACTCCAGCAATTACATGTCTCTCCAGGGCTGCACCCTCCTCCTCCCCCCCCCCCCCCCCCCCCCTCCTAACCTGGTGTAGCTGTCACGCAGGGCTGATATGCACAAATAGCTGTGTTCTACTGAGCAATTGCCACATGTCAGTGGGTGAGGAGATGATCACTGCCTATAGTTTGTATTTTAACTTATGGAGTGTGCATGGTGATCTGTTGGAGTAAAAGGCATGATACAGATGTAGAGTCACATCTGTTATGTCTCACACTTGAACCATGCTGCCAAGAAGTGGGATTCCATCCAGACTTCACACCTACTGAATCCCTTTTGCTACAGTTACATTTGTAACATTTCTACAGGACCTGCCCGTAAGAGCTTCTATAGGAACCTTCTTGGGTTTGTGCTGGTTACTTTTGGTACTCAAGCATATGCTCAGACGCCGAGTAAGGAAAAGACATGTAGATTATCTAAAAAGAAATTTATTGCATTTCATGCAGCTTATAATACATGCATCGACAGACTAGCACAATGGTTAACTTTTTTTCTCCAGATTCTTTAGTGTTTCTGGAATAGACGGGGACAAGTTTAAGCCTCTATTGTCCTTAGAAAATATATTTATTGTAACACAAGGAATGGTTTTTCCTTCCCAAAAAGCGGCAAATATTCAGCGCTCAGGTCTATCAAAAACAAAGGGGGAGCAGGGAGGAAAATCTCCCAATACACTCATGTGCACGCACACGTATACCTCTACTGAACTACCAGGTTGAGATACCTTGGTCTAGCTCTATTCACAGTAGAATGCAAACCGAATACTGGGAATAAAGCTGTTATGGGAAACAAGATGCAGTCCCCTTTTACGAATCTGACCAAAGAAAAATGTTCCACTACATCATTGAATAAGCTGCTATAGATTTCATTTCAATTATCTTCAGTTTTACAAAGATGAACACGCAGCTAAGTATGCCGACCTATATTGCATCCTTGTTAGTCACTGTTGGATATTCTCTCATACCCACCAGAGATGGTGTAGAGCGCACCAGCGATCATAGCCTACTATAGGCTTAATATCAAGTACAGATACACAAAGGGAGACGTCTTCATCAGAGCCGGTTAGAATGGCAAAAGTCAAGATGGCGAGTGTCCATTTCCATGCCGATAGAATACTCGTTGCTGTGGGTTCGTTCAGTCCCCTGCCACCTGGGGAGCTTGTCCATCTGAAGTCTGATTGGTGGACTGAATAAACATGGGCTGGGCGATGTCCTGCCCTGCAGGCATGGTCACTTGCTGAATCTGATAGAGTTGCTGGAAAAGGTGGGGTAGGAAGAGAAAAAGTTTCAGCAAGATGCTCAAGAAATAGAAACTATTGGTAGCATGCAGCCTGTGTAGCCACAGATTGGACCAACGCTAGAAATCCACACACAAAGCAAGTCAAACGCGCTCAGAGTTGAAACATGAATTACTCTAGGCCTTAAATAGCAAAATGTGACAATATAACAAGCTAACCTCATGAATCTCTGACGGCCAGTTAGAACCGGACAGACTGGCTTACATGTATAATGGTAGGGGAATTTGATTCCTGAACAGATTCGGACTGAAAAAGCTCCCACTGACAATTTAACCTTTTTAAATTCCAGAGTAGGTTCGCCAGGTTACTTCTAATCACCGTCTTTGGCACTCTGCACGATACGTTCAATTACTGCTCATCCGCTAAAACCCTATTACATATTCTAAGCAGGCAGAACCAACTTTTGTTCTCACGCTGGATACTATTTTCACAACTTGCTTGAACAAGAGAGACAGCGATTTCCAAAATATTTCCACAGCTTACGGCTCACCTTGATTTATCAAGCTTTTCCTGCAATCTAACTTCTATCTTGATTTTACCTTTACCCCGTGTTTGCTCAATAGCAATTCAGTAGGATTGCTGTTTTCTATTAGTCTACATTCTGAAAGTTGATCAGACTGAATTTCATATTAGCCCTGTCTTCAACAAATTGAAGGTCAAAGTTTATTTGGGGCAAATCTACCCCTCACTGGATCCACTCTGACGTGTCTATTCCAAGTATTTAAAGTGATTATTTCAGCTACTTCATCTGCAGATGATATGACAAATGAACACAGTTTGTGCTAAACTATCATTAAACACTCCTCACACAAATAGAGAATACACCTCCCATAAGCTGTTCTTCTGTTTGTGCAATCTTCAAAAAACTTTCTAGTGACATGCTTGAGTTACACACCAAGAGTTTGTCCTTATTTATTGGCGTAAAAATTTCCTAGGCTGCTTTTTTAATAAGACATAACATCTTCCACATCTTGTAAAACCTGGGATGAGATGGAGAGGACAAAAGTTAAATATTCTCAAAGAACTGGGTTAATTTGGAGCAAATATGAAGTCTTTTTTAATATCTTGCTATAAGTCTGTCACGGTTCTTATGCATCCTGATTCCCAGATCCATCTCGCTATCCTACTTCTTGCTTAGATGCCTAGTACTAAAGACCAGGAGTTTTCTAAGCTCTGATTTCATGGAGACTGGCTCTTTATTCGTAAGGTATGAGTTCTGAAATAGGTACCTGCCCATCAGTGAACTGGCTAAACTGCTGCTGTCCTTGCTGGACTTCTGTTTGTGTGATCTACAATAAAGAAATGACAAGGGTCATCAGTGAGGGAACATACCAGCTGGGTCAACAATAAATTAACAATATTTTATCCCCCCCAAAGCACCACTGCCGACCACTTTACAGATTTTTTTTTTAAATATTACGCCTCCCAATATTCCCGCATGGTACTGCAAGAGAGATTAAGGTCCCTCCCTGGAGTCACATCAGTGAGTCAGCAGCAGAGCTGGGAACAGAACCCACGAGTCCCATCTCTGCACTAAATCAGCCTCCCGTACAAGCTCACCTCAATGGGAATTAAAACATGAAACCACACACAGAATAGCAGGGGGATGAATGCTCGTGGAGAACAAAGGGCATTGTTGGATTCAATAATTAAAAAGCAAAGCAAAGCAAAGCGACTCCCTCTTGCTTTCATAACCAGCATAGGGATGATCAGTTTATGGACAGGAAGGTGAGCAGTTCTTTCAATTTTTGAAGATGGATAGCTACAGTTATCTGACAAGAACTAGGGATGTAAGTGACTAGTCGCTTCCCCCCCCACTTGCTGCCTGCGGCCTCAGGGGAATAAGCCGGCTCCACCCAGCACCATCTCCACAGAGAGGGTGTGTGTAGCAGGGGAGGCAGAGGCACAGCAGGAAACGGTGCAAGCAAGGACCAAAGCAGTCCCCACTCGTGCCAGTCTAACTGCGGGGAACCCTGTGTAAGCGGGGACTGCTTGAGTCTCCACTCGCCTGGAGTTCCCCACTGTGCCAAGCTAGCGAGCGCTCCACCTCACCCCTTATCGACTAATTGAGTAGTCAATGGAAATTCCATCGATTACTCGATTAGCTAGTTAATCAAACTTTTAACATCCCTAACAAGAACATGAAACATCTTATTCTGGTGTGCTGCCCTCATTGAAAACCTTATCGCCCCATCTCTGAGCAGCTCTCGTGCTCTGAGAAGAGTTACTGTCCCATCCTCCTAGTCCAAAGGAATGGAAGGAAGAGAAGGCAGCAACAGATGCAGCATGGGAAGCATGCAGCTCTACCCCCCCAATTAGTGCAGGTTGATCACGTCAATGACTGAGCTGCAAAAGCTCCTCATGTAAAAGAGGTGAAAGGTTTCAAGGGATCCAAGAGGTATCAAAGAGAGAGACTTCTGGTAAGACACTGGAGACTTCTTCAATGTACCAGTCCAACTAACCATTTCACATGCACAAAAGTTTTGGTGGTAAGAGAATGAAACAAACAGCTACTGAACCCTAGTCTGGCTAGCCAGTTGACAACTAGGTCATATACTTGTTAAATTGGCCAACTTCATATTGCTTTCTTTTATGTGAGTTTTTAAGATTCTGAGCATGTGCATTCTTTCACTCCCCTGAGTGACATAAGTTTACTAACAAAAGTGCTAGTGTAGACACAGCCTAAACCTTTTAGGATTGAAACCTGAATCCTAGCTCTGACACTGCTACAAAGAAGCACACACATTTGTGTCAGGCAGATTCTGCTCTTAAAGCAAAAAGGAGGAGATGATGAACTGAGGGGAGCCCTTTGCTGGCCCGTCTGTCCTTTCAGATCACACTCCTCGCGGAGATGTACTTCCGTAGATTTCTCTTCTGCATGGCATTAAAGCAGACTGGGTTACGTGGCACTTGAGGCGCGTACAGTATTTTGTAGTGCAAATAAAGGTAGCATGTCCTGCTTGTGAGAGTTTGTAAAGAAAACACCATAGGGATGCGTGGAAGAAAGGAAGGATGTGGGATCCTTCAATGGGATTATTAGGAATTTAAATGTATCTAAATTTTTCAGATTACCAACATGATTAATTTTATTTCTTGTGACTTTAGGTGTCTGGGCAAGGGTGAGAAGATAAAATTGTATGTCTTAAGACAGCCATATGCAGTCCTCATAAGAGGCACTCAATCATTTGGAGTGCACTGGGAAAAAGATACAGGAGTTTACATTTTGAAAAAGCCACTCCTGAATGATATGGCGCTTCTCCCACATCTGCACAGAGGAGCGCTATCTGTTTAGGAGTGCGTTCTCACTGACTCTCACGGATGAAAAATCTCTCGGCTAAGAGGCTGAGCCTGCAGCACTTGATATGAACGGATCTTCAATGGAAGACGACTTGCTTCTCACATTAAGACTAGGGATGCGAATGGATAACCTGTTACCTGGTAAGCATCACCCTTACCAGGTGATGCTTACTGGGTACCGGTTGACTGGTGCCCAGGAGCAACCTGCCATGGGCAGAGGTCCTGGGAGCCTCATTGTCGGCAGCGGTGGCAGCAGCCCCAGTCCTGGGATCCAACTTAGTTAACTGGTTAAATGTTAGGTTAAAATAATTTCCAGCACTGGGTTGACCTAATGTTTAACCAGTTAACTGATTAATCAGGATTTTACACCCCTAGTTAAGGCTGCTCCAAAGAACACAAGGGATCACTCCTGTGTCTTTTTCACACTCTGCTTTAACTTTCTCCCATTTGTCCTATGCCACACAGCTTCCTTGTCTTTTAAGCCCACTTCTTTCATGACTCTTCCTTATACTGGTGATCTTTCCATAAGCCTTCCACAACTGAACTGTATGCGTCTTATGCAGGGGTTACCACAGGTCTTATACAAGTGCTGTGAACTTTTACACCACTCCCACATTGGCATGAATGAAGTGGTTGTGCCAGACTTCCACCGGGCTGTTTTATTTTATTTATCTATTACAAAGGCAGAAAGATCAGGAATGCTGGAAATTGAAATCTCAACATGTGGGGAATAATAGTTTAGTAGTTAATGACAAGTCTTTGGTCTTATAGTACATACCTGCTGCGCATTGGCTGCAAGCGTCTGAATCTGTCCCTGGACTACCTGGGTGCCTGATACAGGTTGAGCTAAGCGGATATACTGCAGCTGGCCAGCATTCAGCTGAACCTAGAAACAAGGCAGGGAAAGGGAAATAAAACAGTGGACTGAGCAGTATGAAACACGCAAACTTGCCTTCTTGTTTTCATAACAGAATGCAGAGTAACAGATTTTGATACTTGGGAGGACTGAACAGATTAAGTTTTGAAATTAATAGCTACATGGATTCACTCAAAGAAAATAATAGAAACTTTACCACTGCAAATTCTTAAATTAAAACTTGAAAGAGACCCTTTTAGCATCTTTCTTTCTACAAGGAGAAAGCATTGAGAGATGGCATACACAGTTCTGAGCAAACGTTAGCGAGCTCTTATTTTTCCTTTGCAAATATGAAGAGTGATTACATTAAATCTTCTGTCATCCGAGTCATTTGTTCAAATAAGAAAACTGTTTTCCCGGTGAGAAAGCTGCAACTAGAGATATTTCTAATATGGTCTTCCCATCATTTTCCTTTAGATGTTTGATAACTTTTCACCTTCTTAGAAAGGAGGGAATAAAGAACTAGCTAGAACCAGGAATGCTGCAAAGGCTTCCAACACAATTCTGCCAGCGTAGTTTAGTCGTGACATGGCAAAGGCTGTTATATTATCATGCCAACGTTTTGTGCTTTATATTAAGAAAAGAAAAACTTCAGTTTGCCTAAACACAAGGTGAGAATTTTAAATGTTGACAAGTCAGGAAAAAGTTATCACAGTATCATTAGTTCTGCTCTTGTGCACATTTCATATTTTTAACTAAATTAAACATTTGAAAAGCAACACAAAACAAAGCTAAGCATGGAACACGGTGCAAATTTTTCCATTAACCTACTTTTGAACATTTAATTTAGAATCTTAAGGTTAAAGTTTGCATTTTAATTTACTTTTAAAGGAGGAAGAAAATGCAAAGAGCTATTACATATAAAGAGCATAAAACACCTCTGCTTCACCAGTGAAGCTTAGAAGCTCTTGGAACAGAAATGATTGGGCTTGCAGTTTACACAAATTCTGCTGACTTCACCACTTGTGTCCAGAAGCCCCACCATTTGCTCTTGAAGCTATAGCCTCTGCAGCAGTTATAAACTCCATATGAGCATAAACGGTTTAATACACAATCTGTTTTTGCATTAAAAGCAGCCTGCAGAGAAGGTTCTCTCTATTGAAGGCTTCCCACTTTGATTTTTAACTGCAGTACTAATGTAATGGGTGAAACTGATCTGAAATGCTTATACTGCTTTGGTTCTCAAGAGAAAAAAGGGTCTAGTGCTCACGGACATCCAGCTAGTGTGAAAATTTCAAATGATAAAGTTACACTATTTTTGAGACATGAGCAAAACAATATTAACATTTACCTAAAACGTACCTCTCCCACCATTGCTCAAAGTTGAGGGGGAAAAAAAATAAGTAAAAGTTAAAGACAAAATATGGGCTGAGATCAATGATGGCAAATTATTTCCAGAAAGACAATTTCAGAATTTATAAGGAGGTGAACCCCCGCTGGACTGTAAGTAACATTCCAATATCAAGGTTTTAAATTCCAGTGGGCACCATCAGTTTTAGGACACCTTACATTTGACATGTAAGTTTTTGAGCGTGTTAGTGCAGATCCAAACGGGGGGGGCAGGAGCCTCATGTGCCCAAGACAGGTTTTTGAAATTGCAATGTCCTCATGCTCCTGTGTGAGGGCAGAAATGGGAGGGCACCGTGACAATCCCTCAGCTTCCTTACAGCTCAGAGTATGCACTTCTGTGGGCTTAAATGCAGGGATGGAGGTCAGGGCATGGGACCCACAGTTACTGTACAGTAACCATGATTCCTTCTTTTAGTATGTGTCAGTGTGGAGCTCATTGTTCGCTGATCACCTACAATCTCCTCCCTGCAAGGTAGGAGTGTAATTTTGGCAATGCCAGTCAAACAACCACTGCAGTACTGCGCTCCCAAAACTGGCATCTGACCTGATTGCCACGTCAAAGGCATAACAGTTAACAAACAAAACAATCAGTGGGTTGCCCTAACGTTGTAGGCCTGCAGATCTCAGGGCCTGGAACATTCCTGAAGCAAGCAGAAAAAGCTGTCTGTGCGCTGGAGAACCATACCTGAATGTTTGGCAGAAGAGGCTTGCCAGCCATCTGAACCTTAGGCGCGGGGGCCAGATGCAGCCCCTGGTTTGCCTGGATCCAGCCTCCAAGGCTCAGGGCTCCCCCCTCCAGCATTGGGGAGCCTGCGCTGGTGCTCCAACCCCCCCCGCTCCACCACACAAAATCTACCAAGCTGGGCCCCCCCTAGGCTCCGGTGTGCAAGGGGAATGTGCGGAATGTCTTTCTCCTTAATCAGAGAGTCCAGCGAGGGGGTTTGTTTTGTTTTTCTTTGCTTCTCACTTCTTCTGTGGGTCAGTGGCCCCCACCCCAAAAAATGTCCCCCACCCCTGTGACAAGTGGAGGAACTTCACTATGTGACCCTCTTGGAGAGGAGATGGCTTGGCTTTTAGATGGGCACAAATGCCCCAAAAGAGGCAGCGTGCAGCCAGAAAGGTTTAGTTCTATTAAAGTAATAAAGCAAAGCTCTGGACACATTGAAAACATGCAGCTCTCTCTCTCCTGGTGTCCATTGCAGCCTCTGGAAGAAGCCTGGCAAAATGATCAGTTGGCTCAAATGGAAGCCTAGGACCACATCAGGACTGAACTTGCAGTGTGGTCTTAACAGCATCTCGACCTATGCAAAGCTGTTAGGCAATCTAGCCGTAAGAGCCTGGAGCTCACTGACTCTCTGATGAGCGGAGGCCACGGGACAGACCATCCCGAGGGGCAGGTGATGTAATTGAGCACTGTGACAGTGGCTCCGAGGGAGATTCCATCAGTTTGAGGAGGTCAGTGGTAAAATCCCAAGTGCAAGTCAGGTCCTTAACTGCAAAGGAGAGAGAATGGAACCACCTTCCTGTATGTTCAGTGGGTCTAGCCACCAAGTTCTTACAGTTCTTGAGGGAAGACTGACTTCTGTTCAGTGGGGTCTGAATAGGGAGAATGCAGGCCTCAGCTGTAGCGTAAGGACCAACGGTGAAATCAAGCAGCATCTTGTACGTGCATACTCACATGTGGCCTAAGAGTCCCAAAGAAGTGCACAACACTGTTACTGGGTTTGATTTTAGGTTGTTCTCCAGCAACTGAAAAGATCTGAATCTGTTCTTTAGCAAGTAGGCTCCAGACAATCAGGGGTTGATCCTGGCTTTCATGGTTACTATCATTTATGACAATGTGAGGAGTGATTTCTTACACCTCATGATGGGCTAGGGAAAAGATTGTTACAGTTGCCTGTGGGGTTCTGCTTCTTATCAGCCAGCTGTCCAAGTACAGATAGATGTGGATTCCAGGCCTTCTTGAAATGCACTGCTGCTACTTGTTAAGCATTACTCTCAATGTCACGAAGAATCTGAAGGGCAGAACTCCATACTAGTAAAGGTTAAGATCTCTGAATATTAGGTATGGGATGGAGAGCTATATGAAGTATGCATCATGTGGATGCCTAATATATACAATATTTTCTGCTTCTGTAGTGCCTTTCTTCCAGCAGAAGTGTTTCATAAAAATGTTTCATAAAATAAGGACTGCAATTTCACAAATGGCATCCGGATACAGTGACTTGCTTAAGGTTACAGAGTCAGACACAAAAAGAATGAAATAATGCTCTTTGCTGAAGTATAGGTAGTAAGAGACCTAAAGTTTAGGCAGTAAGTGTTTTTTTTTATTAACAGTCTCCTAAGCATACCTAATTATTTCTTCTCCCAAGGCAAAATTCTTAACGGAGTTATAAGTTGTGTGTGCGCTACATAACAGAGATCTTGTAACACTAGGCACTGGAATATCTATATCTGGATTTCTGAAAAAGGGTTGATGTAGCACAGTTTGATACAAGACCATGAGACAGTTTTACATCCCCCCCGAATTTGCTGGATTTCTCCTGTATTGGTGATTATCTGCTGCATGACTTGCATGGTCTGCCCAGTTCCACTCTGAGCCTGCTGTGTTTGCCCTTGTGGCTGTGCCTGGACGATCTGGACCTGCTGACCCTCACCAACCTGCATCGTCACTGGGGTGGTCTGAATTGAAAGACAAAAAGGAGCACGGACTGACTTGGCTGTACATTTCTGCAATTTCAGCCAATAACAAAAGGCTCTTTTGCAGCCCTGTTTTCAGCTTGTTGATATTTCAAGCTTGACCTACTTCAGCACTGTGACAATCAGGAAAAGCATATTCCTGTGATTCTAAGTCTACTGCCACCTAGAAATACAGAGAGTTTTAAATAGGACAACCTTACTTGCAGAGGTTCCTGAGCATTTTTGCCATCAGAGATCTAGCTGTCTTAGATACTTAACTGGCCCTACCACAGCATCTGAGCACCTCACAATCTAATGTATTTATCCTCAACACACATGTGGGAGGGAAATCATATTCTCCCCATTTTACAGATAGGGAACTGGTGCACAGAAAGGTTAAGTGATTTGCTCATGGTCACACAGGAAATCTGTAGCAGAACAGGGATTTGAAAAGAGATCTCATGAGTTCTAGGTTAATGCCTTCCTCCAAGAAAGGGGCTCTTTTAAGAAAGTGAACAAAAAAAGAGCCACAGGAGCACTTACACACCACTAGAAACACAGCAATAGTAAATGTTTGCAAACATAACAAAACAGTTTGGAAAAGTAAATTCCGCAGGTTCTCTCTTAAAATGTCCATGTATATTATACTTATGGTACTTTTAAAACAACAATATTTTCCAGCCTCAACCTGAGACTCAATTTAGTCCTAAGAAGTCAAACATTTGGTTTTGAAAGTACAAGGATGCCACTTTCCTAGTAGGCATACCAGTGCAATTCAGTATTTCAGCACAAAGTATGTTAGTTCTGATACTCAAATCACAGAATCACAGAACACTAGAACCGGCGGGGACCTGGAAAGGTCATCAAGTCCAGTCTCCTGTCCTCACAGCAGGACCAAACACCAACTACAGCATCCCTGACAGGTGCCTCTCTAACCTGCTCTTAAATATCTCCAGTGATAGAGATTCCACAACCTCCCTAGGCAATTTATTCCAGTGCTTAACCACCCTGACAGTTAGGAAGTTTTTCCTCATGTCCAACCTAAACATTAAGTAATATACACTAGGCAATGTACAGTCATTAACTGTTGGGATAAAATCTTGCATTGACAAGTGGATGATTAAATGACCAAATTGGTCCATCTTCATACACTTGGAAAAAATGCCACTCCTATTTCAAATGAGACAGAAACTCTGTCAAAACTTGGGTCTCTTTCAAAACAGATACGTGACACAAATTAACTGAAACACTTAGTAGGTTGTAAAACCAATTTGCAGCAAAAAACTTTTCTAGCAAATCACCAGAAAAACATCACGTTTCCCTAACCTTCAAAGTGTTCACAACAAGGTAAATACAGCAACTGCCCACCAGTTCAATTTTTAAACAAGTACCTATGTGCTTTCTCCTGTTATGCCCCTTGTACTTTGCATGAGCTCCACGTGCAAAGTTACCTTATTATCCTTCTTCAAAACTCCTGTTCTGTGAGGCCTACAAAAACCCTGGGCAGTGCTCCCTCTTCGGAGAAGGGATAGACTTCTGGTTTTGTATAGGACCTAGCACAAACGGGGTCCTGGCCTTTGACTAGGGCTCCTAAGTGCTAAGGTAACACTAGTTATCAAGGCTCTGCGTTCATCGCGGATTCCTTGACTTTCTGTGACTTCTGCAGCAGCTAAGTGAGCCTGGACTGGGGGCTGTCAGTTCAGACAGCTCACAAGCTGGGCACATCGGTGGCTGCTGGGGCAGTCGTGGGCCCTCCCATCTGCTACCCTGCTAGTTGGGGGGGAAGGAGGGAGGGGGGTGGCAGCAGCTCAGCTCCCAGCTCCACCCCCACAGCTCCCATTAGCCTCAGTTCCCGGCCAACAGAGCTGCAGAAAGGCTTGGGGCAGAGTGGAGGCAGTACATGAACCTAGGAGCTTGAAGTTACCCACCTCCTGGGAAGAGGTAGGGAGCCTGCTCCAGCCACACCAATGTGTCCCCCTTCTAGCACCTACAGCGCTCCCAGGTCTGCCCTTCCTCCTCACTCCCACAAACACCTGCAGTGCATCCACAAGCTGCCCTCCCCCCCACCAATTTTTACTCAAGAGTATATAATAAAATTCATGGACAAGTCACGGCCATTCATTTTTATTTATGGCTCGTGACTGTTACTAATAATACCTGTGACTAAATCTTAGTTATTACTTGTAACAGCCACATGTGGCTTTTCATATCCCACATACTTCTAGGCCTTTGCTGGCTATGTAGAACGGTAAGCTTTCATGCCGTGCCTCCTCACTGACCTGTCCCTGCTGAGGCTGAGCAATGATGATCTGTCCTGGCTGGATGGTAGTGGTGGACGTGGTGGTCTGTTGTCCTTGCTGTTGCCCCTGTACCTGTACTGCGGCGGGCTGTTGAGCAAGCGTGAAATAGTACTGGACAGGTTCAGCGGGAGTCACAGCCTGGCGCACCTCTTCCTAGGATACAGAAGAAAAAAAAACAAAACAAAACCAACAGACTGCATTCTCGCTGAAATCCACTTCCATAAACATGCTCAGTACAATGGATTCTTTAATGCTAGGTTCTGAACAGTTTAAGCCAAAGGAAAGTAAATTCAAATAGCCCTGAAAAGATAAATCAAGATGAAAATAATGGGTTCCACAGATTTTTACTGAGCTACACAAATCAAAGCATTTCAGATTTTTAAGGTATGTGATCACCCATTCCATTATGAGAAGCAAATGAGCAAACAATTATCACAGTTAAAAACCATACAATTACAGTGCTTGGCAGTAAATTCCAGCAAGGACTGTTATCTTAGCACAGTGCTAATTGGAAGTGCACTACGAAGAGATATAAAAACATCGTGTGCTACTCAAGCTTGTTCCTTAGCCTACACGCTGAACAAACCTCAATCTGCCACTTGCTGTGACACCACAGGGAGTGTTAAAAAACTAAATAAATCACTGAATTTGATTTTATAGCCAAACCAGTCCAGAATTAGGCTTTGTAGAACTTTTGCCATTTAGGGATGTGAAGAAAACCATCCCTCTGACAGAAATTTTACCCTTAAAAAGTGCTGGTGTGGATAGCTCTGTCAAAGAGATGTTCTCCTGCTACTGTCCGTCTTTGGGGGTAATTTAATTTTGTCAAGGTGGGGAGGAGAGCTCTCTCTTGCCAACAAAGAGCGACTACACTGCATACCTTACAAGGGCATGGCTGTGTCACTGTAAGGTGGGCAGTGTAGACATATCTTAGAATGTTCAGACAAACGCTGTAGTTTTGCACTGTCTGCTTCATCTGGCAATCCAAAAATCTTAGCTTTTGGCTCTTTTGTTTCAAGCAAAGGAAATGCCGTAGCTTTTGCCTGTTCTGGTTTACCTACCCATGGCCTTAGATATAGAAATAATGCTGATTAATGGAATTTCAGGAACAGAAGTAGAATTATTGGATATTACACTACACAGAAATGAACTAACACTTATTAAATCTTCAGATGTTCAGTCCATGGCAGAAGGAGTAAACAACCCTCTCCCAGCCACCTTGAGTCCACAGCTGAGAGTGTAGGATGTTTACACATGCTACAGCATGGTAGATTCCATATAAAGCCTGTTGGACTTCCGGATATTAAATAAGGGCTGCCCATAGATCAATATCAATTATACCTGCTTGAGATGCCAATTAAAAGAAAACAAAACACCCGAATGAAACCAGATCCAAGTGTATGGAGTCTGAATGGCTAAGAGCTCAATAATGGCATACAGAATCTTTCTTGTTCAATTGCTGCACAATTACTACTGGATGGATTCTTATAGCATGCCTAGACTACCCATTGGATTGACAAGCAGCAATCTATCCATCGGGAATCAACTGATCGTGTCTAGTACGGACATGATAAATTGCTGTCGAGAGTTTTCTTGTTGACTCCAATACTCCACCAAAACAAGCGTAAGTGGAGTCGATGAACGGTCAGCCGTTTACTTAGTGCTGTGAAGACACCACAGAAAGCAGACCTAATACATCTACTTCAGCTATTCACATAACTGAAGTTGCATAACTTAGGTCACCAGCTTGCAGCAGTGTAGACAAAGCCTTAGAGACTGATGTAAAATGACCCCAGCTCCTAATAAACATGTGTTCTACAACTGACACTTACTGGCACCTTTTTGTCAGTTTCAACCAGGAAGAAAGGTTGAACAGACCATAGAAAATAAATTGTCTTCTTCCATCATTGGACTGGATTTCCTTCAGGTCAAAGCTGAGACAGACACTGGCAAAGAATGACATGGAAGAAGTATGCACTGTTACTGATTAATGTGGATAAAGGCAGAATTAAAGAGACATGGGGGAAGGTAGTATCTTTTACTGGACCAACTTCTGCGGGTGAGACACCAGAGACAGACAGAATGGTCAAGCCAGCACTAAGTAACACACACATTTGATTAAACTCTATAAAGTGCAAGCCTAATATAGTATTAAACGCTTTCCTTAAACACACACACACACACACACACACACACACACACTTCCCAACCAAAACTAAAAGATGTCACAGCCAGTTGTAGTCATGAAAGAAAGAGCTTCTGAGATTGAATCTTGGTGTGAACAATGTCAGGATCACCCAACGGAAATGCAGACCAAAATACTTCACTGATTTCATTTTACAGTTCCTCTTTCATGAGTAAATTTGCTGGAGTATTTTAATTTGACTTCCTCAAGCTCTTTCTGAGAAGTGTGATGATTTTAGCTGTAAAATTACAACACATTACATTTTTGCTGTTGTTACTAACAGGACACAGCAGTTGAAATCAAGTCTGTCCCGATCCAGTCATGAAAAATCCATTGAAAGGGGGAGGACAACTGCAGCAGTTTCTGTTGAGCAAGCTGCTTAGATATCCCATTCCAAGGATTGCAACACAAACTCCTGAGCTCTTGAATAAAAATTAAATCAACTCTGCACCTCAATAAAGCATGTGCTCTAGGTTAATGTTTCATAGTGCTCCTGACAGAAATGGCTTTAAATTTGAACTTATTTAAACCAGGTTTTGTCTTGTGGTTTGCTGTCTCTTAGGCTAGCTCTACACTTAAGACAGCATGCAGACTACAGGCACTATGCTATATGCTGCAATGAATGGCTCCAGCAGTGGGAAAAGGCTCTGGCAGCAGGGAGCTGCTGGAGCCATGTCATTGTGGCAGGGAAAGTCTCCAGCGGCATGCTGCTACATCGCTAAAAATACACACCTTGAGGATCCGTACACTTGCAATTCAGGTCTGTAGGGCACTCTTCCCACATAAATCATGCCTCACTATCTACGCTGCTACATCTACCCAAGCTAGTTGGGCATGCAGCGTTTGAACTCGTATCTCTAGTTGTTCATTGGTGTACTGCATTGACTACCAAAGAGTCTGGCTGAGGGTGAGAAAATAAGAAGTTCATGCCTTTGGCAGGGACAAAATATTTGCAGCTGGCACATTTGTTAGTGAGGGCTGCCAATGCCAGCGTCTGCCCACTTCCAAAACGGCCTCGTCCATTGGCAGGGCTATCTTTGTGGTGGCTGAGGGCTACAGGATTTTTACACATTTGTGCTGCTTTTCTTACACTTCTGGTAAGAAAATTTCTTGTGCTACGGCCACTCTTTTGAACAGGTTCTGAAATTGCTTCAAGAGCTGGGCATGGTGACAACTGATGGTTTCACCATCTCCTTTCCTTACACTTTGAGAGGTTGGGGTTGACCCCTTACGGAAATAAGGTTGAAGGAAGGAATCCAAGGAGGAGGTGGGAAAAACAACCTTTCTTTTCTACACCCCCCTGCCCCCAAAAAAACCCGCCAAGAAATCATGAACTGGGGAAGGAGTTGGGGGAAAGCTAAAGTATTTTCTTTGTCTTTCAGGTACAAAAGAGAGAGAACTGCTAGGAGCTTCGTCTGCTGCCAACTGAGGAACTGAAGGAGCTGCACCGCACATGCAATCAATAGACACAAAGGGCACCACTAAGTGGCTACTGCATACGCACAGCACGGCCAGGTGCTACCAGGAAATAGCACCAACTGCTGGCGTGAGGATGCATTGATACCTAGAGTGGAGCACCCACAGGGACAGCACTCAAAGAAGCTGTTTTTCCACTGAAAATTCCTACCCCGCTTTGTAAATGGCACCATCATCCACCAAAGCTCTCCTGCCCCTGTAGTAAGTGCTACATAGTCCTGTATTTTGCTTCTGCCCCAGAATGTTCACAAAGGCTGGGAATATACAGTGTTAGGCTTTGAGAAATTGCTGCCTATTTCAAAACAAACGTTCATGTTGTTTCATTGTTATCTACGATGTGCAACCAGGACAGGAAAGCTTTGGTGATTCTGATTGCAAAGAAGAATTTCCATGGATTACACACAGTTATTTTCCTCTGGTGAGTTAATGAACTATAATAAAATATAAGTGCCTTTGTATTTTAAACTAGGGAGGTTATAAATAATGACCTTTACCGAGGCTCTTTTTTCAAAGTGGATCGAAAGGTCAAATGAGCGAGCAATGCTGTGTACATATACTGGAGGTGTTCCCTAAGCTACCTGGACAGGAGCATAAAGGCATCACTCTGCAGAGGTGGGGTCCGCTTCAAGAATTTGGTAAGTGGTCAGGGACAGCACCTTTCTATGATATTAATGGAGGGGAAGCGGGATCTGGGACAGAGTTTGGGTTCAGGAGGGGGCTCTGGTTTTTGGACTGGGGTGCAGGAGGAGGTGTGGGTTCTGAGAGGGAGTCTGGGCTCAGGAGGGGATTCTGACCTGGAGCAGGGATCCAAGAGGGAGTGTAGGGCCAGGGAAGGAGTTTAGGTGCAGGAGGGGGTTCTGACCTAGGACAGTTTCTGGCCAATGGGAAGCTGTGAGGATGGTACTGGGGGAACAACTTGCTCCCCAGGGGTGTGTCACGCAGACACACACATACTAGCCCCAGAAGCCAGACACTTTGAGCAGCGTGTGGGGCTGCAGCAAGACAGGCAGCTTGCCTGAGAGTCCCACTGAGCCGTGGGCTGGATTCAAATGTTTGGCCAGATCCAGCCCAGGGCCATATTTTGCTTGCTCCAGCTTAGACTCTCAGACTCGGGGAATTGAACACAAACGCTTAGGAATCTTGACTGACTTTTGTTATCTCAGGCTGCTACTCATTGTTTTTAGTTTCAACGTGCTTATGTGAAACCATTTTTCCTCATTTTGCCAGGTTTCCTGAGATGCAGGCTTCCCCATCCTCCAAACTGGCATGCAGAGATTTCTCTTTGCTAGATGGCTCTTGTTTAAGGCACACCTGTGAAAACCCCTTTACAAACCATAGCGACAAACACATTCAGAGGAATCATTACTTTTCTATATTGAAGAATAAGCAAGCAGCTCTGTGGGAAGGGACTGCAGGGACATGGGCAGCCTTCTCATCTGTGACATTGACTATGTGAGCAAGTATATACAGAACATGGCTTCATCACATGTACAGAAATCATGGAGAAAATTCAGCAACCTCCCATAGCAGATAATCTTCTAGATCTTTCCTAAGTGAATACTTTCTAGTAAGTAGTGTTCTATCATCACTCCCTAATACTGATGTATATAATGTGATGGAAAGCAAGCCTTTCCAAGATATGACAGGGTATGTGCTTGGGCCCAGATGACAGGAGGTTATCGAAAGAAAAAAAAAAAGAAAAAAAAAGGGTAAACGTGTTCCCTTCCTTTGGAGAGCCATCGCTAGCATCATGAGAATTTTGGAGAACAGCAGAGATAGGATGGTAAGCAAGCCCAAAGGCAGAAGACTATGTTGAATGTGCTGCTCTTTGTATCCAAACTGAAGTACTCTGCTATGTATTACTCACACTGGAGTGTGAAGGTAGGTCTCCCTGCAGACAATGTAGGACAGAAAATCTAGTGATACGCTTTTTGGGATCTATGTAAAAAAAAAAGCACTCTGTTTTATAGTGCTTCTGGGAGGTGTAAGCATGGCTGGAGCAGAGAATTCTAAGGGTGATCATTAGAGCCCTGCAAATACACAGATAACTGCTTTATATCTGAGGGTATCCACAGGGTACTAGGGTACAAGGATACAAAGGGTATCCTTGGATGTGGATGTAGATATTTTTATGGATATGGATATAAATCTTGTATCTAGAACCCTGCAAATCTGTGGATATATGCCTTATATCCATGGGTATCCACAGGTGTCGATGCGGGCATTTGAGGCTCATTTTTGCGGATACAAATTTTGTATCTGCATAGGGTTCTGGTTACCATGGACTTGCCACAAAATTTTAGGAAATATCAAACCATCAAAAGTATCAGAGCAGCAGTTCAAGATTAAAGAAATCATCTGCTCCAGAGCCTACAAAACACTGGATTTAATTATCCAGAATGGAAGAAAGTTTCTTTTAAAATGTGTGGAGCTGAAGTCAGTCAAGCAATGATTCCAGGAGCTACTGAACAACGTACTAAATGAAGCATCATCATAAATCTAAGAATTCCCTAGAAAGTCTATGGCATTGGGTGTTAATGTAGCTGTTTAGTTTACCAGATAGTTTGTAGAGAAGTTTGTACAGCAGTCTGACCATTGGAATTAGATGAACTGCTACATATTTCTGCAGCTTGGTACAATTATAGAAGAAAATAAGCTTTTCAGATGAAAGGTGATAAACTGGTTTAGCAGAAAGTTGGATCTGTGACATTGTTCACTTTGAAGCAGCAAAACTGGGTATGCTCCATTTCTGGGATGGTCTGCAATAATCAGAGAAACCAGTGCTTCTTAAATACAAACCTGTTACGTTTCAAAGCAGGCCTGCTGTTCAGGATGACTGTGGCAGCCTGCCGCTGTAAACATCCGACTGAAAGCTCCCTTCTAACACCTTACAGCTTCCAGTCAAGGATGTTTACAGTAGCAATGACTGCCCAGAAAAATGAAGAATGTGGTACTTCTACGGGAAGCAACGTTTCCTTCTTCTCCAACAGCCTAGATGTGTTAGCTCAACAGGTTTCTAGATGTTTAAATACTCTTAATGTTAGCAACTTTTGTTATCTGCAACCTCTATTTGCAGCCTTTTCAACCAGCAATTACTTAAATCAGTTTCATATCAATTTTCACTTTTAAATTAGGTTTCAGAGGTAGCCGTGTTACCAGTAGGAGCATAAGTTTTGTTTACATCATATAACGTAACTCAAGTGACAACTGGACACTTGAAAGTGCCAAAATGAAGAAATGTGAAGGGGGGAGGGTAGAAAAACTTCACTCTTTAATAATGCTGAGCTCTTGATTTAAAAAAAAACCTAAAAACTTATCAGGGAATATCATTATCTCATGTCAGAGTTGGGAAACTGAAGCATAGAGGTGTAAGTGGCTTGTTAAGATCATCCAGCAAGATAGTAGCAGAGCAACTGCTCTAACCACTAGGATGTGCTCTCCCCCCATTCCTATACAGGCAGTCATTTGTTCCCTTTAAAGTAAAGCTAACTGTAAACTTTTCAGGAGAAACATTTACAAAGACAACAGATTTCTGGACTTTAGTGGTTGATGTAATGTGGACCTTGCAGTTGGATTTCATTCTATCGGAGCAGGTACCTGGTGTAATCAAACACAGGCACAAATCACCCGCTAAGAGGATAATCAAATGTTCCATTTTATACAATCCTCACTGCACTGTTCTATACATGTTAGATTTTAAAACTTCTAAAATGCACCCAATTACATCTCTGAGGCTCTAGCAACAGCAATGGTAACACTGATAATATAGGGAAAAAAATGTCTAAGATGACACAGTAAACATTAAATAAACATGCAATAAACTGTACTTGTCTTATGTTTGAACCTCACTTTATATTACTATTTAACATCAGAAGTATGTAAATACTGTAGTGGAAAAATCAACCTCATCAGAAGTAAAGAACAGTAATAACAATTTTACCAACTTACCTGGCGTTTTGGAGGTTTAAGTTCATCTCTGGGAACAATATCGATGAGAAAGTCAAACTGATCAAACTTGGTAATTGCCATGGCAATATCATTTCTCTGTAAATTAAAAAACAATAAAAATAGTCTTTCAATTTCAGAATGACCTGTTTGGTTGCGGAGTAAAAGAGAAGTTGGGAATGCCCATCATATGGAACGGAATTCTTATTGAAGTCCCAAATGGTTCCACTCACATAGCTAGTACTATTAAATCAGAAACAGCAGAGGGCAGGCAAGCAGAATGAGAGAATCATGCAAGCCCCAAGCCACTACAAGCAGCAACAAGATCATCTGCAAGGCAAAATTATCTGCTCAGAAGAACTCTCCCATCAACCTAGGTAATCTCAACCCCTGAGAGGCAGTAGGCAGGTCAAGGGAAGAATTTTTCCAGGATTTAGGTCCACTTTACTATGCCTCTCCAGGGTGTGGTTTTATCACACAAGTGACAGGTGGGAGGGGGGAGACTAACTTTTTAAAGTACACAGGCCTCACTGGGTTACGTTTTTAGGGGGGAGACCATCTGTAAACATTTCTGAACATTTAAAAACCAAAAGTAAATCAACACTGGATTTTAGCTTTTCTAAAAGATATACTATAGGAATTATTGGGTGGGGGGAAGGGAGTTCTATGATCTGTTACATGTGAGGTCAGTTGCAAAGAGCACAATGACTCTTTTTTGGCCTTAAAAATCTATGATACTATAAATAATTGTGTCTTGGAACAGCTGGTTCTGAAGCATGTCTGAGAAGAGGCTGCTCTTGATTTAGTCACAGTTAAACAGGAAATAGCTTCGGAAGTAAGTGCAGGGGAGCCACTAATTCATAGTGAACTTTAGCATAATAAGTTCAGTACCTTCTCAAAGAGAGAATTACTAGAAGTAGTGCTAGGGCACTGTTCTTTAGCAAAGGGAACTTTTCTTTAGCACAGTTGGAAACAACCTGAAGGAGAAGTGACAGCAGTACAGTGCATCACTAGGGAGACCGTTTAAGAACATTTTAGATTCGCAAAGTGAACACTGCTATGTAGCTGTAGAGTGGGCGGAAGAGGAGTTAATAGGAGAATATTTGAAAAAGATTGTATCCCAAATTATGTTAACAAATCAGCGTTAACTTGTAAGATGACAATTAAGAGGACTAAGAGGAAGCACGAAGAGCAAAGAGCTGGCGGACTGCAAAATACATTAGAAGGAAAGCAAAATACATTCGAGGGAGAGTCATTGAGACGTCTAAGATGAGAGGATGGAACTGGAGACACGGAATACTAAAATTCCTTACCATATTACTTATGGACTCAGAGGGTGATACAGATATACACATAATGGATTTACTGTCTTCAGGTATAGTGCCAAATTAAGGATTTTTTTTAGGAACTAGAAGAGTCAAATTGGTAAGTTACCCATTACTGGACAACAATTATCCAAGTTCTGAAGACACCAAAGGACAAGGCAGCTGAATTTCTAACACACACAGTAATTTGTCATTGAAAATTGCTTAAATAATAGAGGACAGTACAATTACCAAACCTGTAAGACATCTTTAATAATCAATCCTAGGGCTGATTCCAGGAATTATAGAAAAAGAAAGGGTCTTATTTGGCATTAGAAGAAATTCCCTAAAGCTAGACTTGAACACAACATGACAGACAAAGATATGTGCCATTTCTGATGTTATCTAAGATAAAAATTAGAAGGGCTATCAAACCTCACACTACGACTTATCTGAAGCATTCTAAGGCATCACCACCTTGGCATCTAAGTGCCAACATCAGTGGCGTATATTTTAAAGTTGGGATGTAAAAACCCGTTTAATTGGTTAACCAGTTAAACAGGATATATAACTGGTTAACCATTAAAGGGGGCGTGGCAGGGGGCCACGGTTAGGCTGGGGAGCTGCTCCACCCCCACCAGTTAGCCTTTTACATCCCTTTTTTAAAAGGGCACTGCTACAGTTGCTGGGTAACTCCACCTGTATCCCCTCCTCTGTGGTACCCTCCAGCAGTTCTTAGTCAGATATCTGATCTTTAGCCAACATCCATCTTTGGTCAAGGGCCCTTGTCTCATCTGAGGGTTTTAAGGCTGAATAAGGTACATATTTAGTAAAAGGAGTCAAGAGACATGGCAGTTCAAGATTTCATGGAAGTAGCTCTCCACTACCTGCAGAGTCCTGCGCTTATTATCTTCAGTGTGTATCCATGCCCGTAGCGTCAGTTCTGTTATGAATATTTGAGCAGCCTTGGCAAACAGCACAGGAGCTTCAGCACTAATCATCTGTAATGAAAAATGTGCATTTCATTCACTCAACCAGCGTACTACCCTTGATTCTAGTCACAGAAGTTTGGCATCGTATCAACAGATAAACGGACCTTGGGCAAATAAGATGGTAGTTTGGTAGGTTAGGGGATTTCCACATTACATCAAAAGGCCATGTCCTTGCAAAATGTGGGAGTCCAAAGAGCTACTAAATTTGAATCAAGCACTGTAATAGGAATACTGATTGGTTACAATTTTCTGTAGAAGTTTATTTAATCAAAAATGAAGGTTATCATATTTTAATTTTGCATAGCTTACCTTATGCTAACACACAGTTTTGATCAGTGTTACCTTTTAACAACACAAATGAAACTGTACTACCAATTCACATGACTGACATGCTTCCAATCATAGGTTAATAGGTTTTCTCTCTCCGATGGAGGATAATCTATCCCTGCAGCTCTCACTACCTGTCAGGCTAACTTATCATAGATATAATACATACTGTGGAAATTTAAGTTCTGATTAACATTTTAGGGCCAAGTCTTCAGCACATGCCTCAACTTTATGCTCACAAAATACCAATCTTGTTTGTTGGTGCATATGGTATATGCGTGAAACTGGGTAGTCGGTCACCTGCTGTGCTTGCACATGAGCCATTTTTATATATGGAAATGTTGATTGTGCAACAAGGGCACAAATTCAAAGTCCAAGTTGAGGCCTCATTTAGAAATCTGGTGCTTACAATTAGAAGCTATCAGTGCTCATTTACAAAGTGACTTACATATTAGGGTAATGAATGCAGACAGAGTAAAACAGATAAGGATTTTTTTTAAATCAAGTCTACTACTTATTTATCATTTTAGAGCATTCCTCAAAAAGAAACAATCACTCCAGTTTCTAGGGGGCTCTTCATACCATCAACTGTGAATTTGTTCTGGTAGCTGATGGGGTATTTTAATTCTTGTACAGTGTCAAGAGCACTGCACAGTAAGATTGTTTCTTACAAGCATGATACCCCTGAGAAACGACATCTATAGTCAGGGCCATCCATACGAGCAGGCTGAGCTTCTGCCCAACTCCATCTAGGCTCTGCCCCCACTCCATCCCTTCCCCAAAGCCCTACCCCCACTCCACCCCTTCTCCCAGGCCCTACCCTGCTGCTTCCCTGTCCAGTTCCCCTCTTCCCCCAGCACCTCCTAAAACTGTGAAACATCTGCTCCGTGGCAGGCAGCAGGCACTGAAAGGGAAGAGCTGATTGGCAGAGCCTGCCAGTGGACAGAAAGTTCTGGGGAAGGGAGAGTTCCGATAGAGGAGTTGCTGGTGGCTGCTCCAGCCCTGCAGCACAAGATGCCCCAAAGTGCAGAGCCCGGGCAGTCACCCCAATTCACCAGACCTTAGGGGTGGCTCTGTCTATAGTGCACACCAACAAGGTTCATACCCATATGTTTTGGTTCACAATGGAAAAGATCAAATACACATTTACCTTCACATCTTCATCCAGTTTCATAATCTTCTTAATGCGTGCCAGTGGGAGTTCCTGCACTCTGAAATCTTTCTGCAGAGAGCAAAAAAGAGACTTCAGAAACTGTTTGCCTACATATAATTCAAAACAAGAGATAAGTGATATTCAGAAGAACACAAAATTGGTCCTCTTTGCTTTCAGGAGTTATCTGTCTCCTGTAAGAGGCAACGATGTTTTGTTTTTCTCCAAGATGCAGTAAATACAAACACTTGAGGTCTACCCTATTACCCACTTTTCCTACTTACTCTAATTGTTACATACTGTACAGTTTCCCCCTTCAGTGTTGAAGGATGCTGTTACAAGAGACAGCATCGCTGCAGCCCCTAGTACAAGAGAAAGGTCCTGCGGCACACAGCAGTCTCTAGTTCAAGTTCAACATAACAGACCTTGTGCATTTCTCCACCTCACACTGTGTAGGAAAAGGAAAGTTTATGGGGTCAAGAGGCCTGCAGGAAGATCTCTCTCTTGCAGGCTGGTTACCCGGCTACATACAAGGAGGACAGGTGGCTCCCCAGAGCTAGCGCATGCGGGAAGCTGACTTTTAAGCTGGTTCTGTGCATGTACAGGCTCTTGTCCTCCCCATACAGAAGCACCAGCACGGGGGGGAGGGGGAAGCAAGCAGGCATCTCCCTGGGAGCTGGTGCGTGTAACCGTGAAGGTTAACAGATGAGCCTAGGCTAATCGGTTACTCGTGTACAGTTACACTTTCACGTCCCTATCCTAACCCAGCCTCTAACCTGCTACGGCCGGGGAGGGACGGCCTGAAGCCAGTACCAGCCCAAACCCAGTTGTGGCAGCCCTTGCCCATCTCCTACCCAGGCCTGACCTTGGAGCTGCCACAGCAAGGAGAGGTGCCTTTCTCCCGCAGGGAAAGTGCTGTTAAGAGGAGTCCCTGTACCTTTGCAGTAGCCCTAAAACACCCTCCTCCCCCTCAAGCCCCTCAACCGAGACCTACCCCATAGCCTGGAACCCCCCTCCTCCCCCCAGCCCATATACTCCTACATACCCCACCCTTCCTCTCCAGTTCTAGACTCCTCATTCCCAAACCTACCCCAGAGCCTGCAACCCACCCTGTCCCAGATGTGAGCCCTACATTCCCAGCCCCACCAGGGGGCACAGGAGCACACTGGCCCCTTCCAGGGGTGGCATGGGGCCGGGACAGGTAGGGAGCCTACCTCAGCTCAGCCTTGCTATGTCACTGACCTGGAACCACCCACTGTAAGAGCTGCATGGCAGGAGGTCCCTCCCCAATTCCCACTCCTCTGCCATACCCAGCACCCCATACCTTTCCTTTACCCTGAACCCTCTCTTGCCCCCCCCAAGATACAGCCGAGCCCCCTCCTAGAACCAGCACCTCATATCTACTCCTGCACCCCAACCCCTGCCCAAGTCCTACCCCTCTCACAGCCAGCACTCCAAGCCACTGCCCCAGCCCAGTGAAAGTGTGTGAGAAAGAGGGAGCGGTGGAGTGAGATGGGCCAGGTTTTGGGGAAAGGGGTGGGGTAGATCTTGGGTTCCCTTAAATTTAGAAAATGATCTTGGGCATAAAAAGGTTGAAGACCACTGATCTAGACAAAGGGGGGGACAGAACCTGTGTTAGAAGAATGAAAAGCTCAAGGAGCTCAATTTATTTCACCTAACAGAGGTTAAGAGTGATTTCATGATTGTTTACAAGGACCTTAGGAACAAAAATTTGACAGTGGGCTCTTTAGTCTAGCAGACAATGGTATAACCAACAAGATCCAATGGCTGGAAGTTGAAGCTAGACAAATTCATACTGGAATACGGTACAATTTAAAAAACAGTAAGGGTGATTAACCTCAGGAACAAATTCAGTGTTGTGGCAGATTCTGCATTAGTAGTAATATAATCAAAATTTGATGTTTTTCTAAAAGACATGATCTAGTTCAAACGGGAATTAATTTAGGAAAGTTTACAGTCTGTGTTATGTGGTAGGTCAAACTAGATAGTCACAGTGGTCCTTTCTGGCCTTCTTATCCAGAATCTTTGAATTAGTTATGACTTCTGTGATATATGAATCCTTTCCAGGAAATCTCCCAGTGATGCAATTCTTCTCTAGGTTCTGTCATAGGTGAATATGACCTTATATTTTATTATTTTTAGGGGGGAAAAATCTATTTTATTCCTTTAAATATGTACTATGCCTTTCAGACTTTGCATAAATAGTGTATTTATTTTGGTTTAAGAGAAACATGGCATGTTGTCTGGCTACTACCCAGCTAAGCAAGATTTAGGACATCAGGTCTTCACCTTTTCTTTTGCCACATTAAGCACCAACATTTTCATCAAGCCTATTCTGGAGCAGTATAACATTAGTCCTACTTTCTACAGTTTCACCAACATTAGGGAGCATTCTGTTTTATGGGAAAACCATTCTTGAATTGTGCCCTCCCCCTTCCCCTGCCCCGAACTCTAGCTGAAGTGTACAATCCAAAAAAGTACAAGAATGAAAATAAAGATGGTCTCGAAGAGCAGGAAACCCGAACTGTATGTACCTCAGCTGACTGATTTGACATTCCTCCCCACCCCCCATACAATACTGTAAATGAATTCTCAATTTGCCCTGGTCCACATATGCAGAAGCACTCAGCATGTTAGCTTTACAGAGATACAGTAATTTCAGTGCCTGATTACATGCAGGGCGGCTACATATGATAGTTTTATAATTATTTTCCCCCTACAATCCTTATTAAAAATTTAATTCAGACAGAAGCTTACAACTCAGCATTCAACATTTTTCTAACTTGCAATGCAATAAACAGATTCACATGACAGCAGTGTTAGGAATTAAATTGCTCATACTAGGTGATCTATAGACCCCTTCCCACATACAGATGAAGACAAGCCACAGTTCTTGCATAAAAGAGCTCAGTGCATGAAGGGATCAAAGTAATTAATTATCATCTCAGCATACAGCTTGCTACATCTGCTTCTTGAGCTGAGACTATAACATGCTGAAAGGGGAAACTTATCTTTAAACTACTGTATCAGAATAGGGTTCTTCATTTCAAGTGAACCATCTTCAAATTGAGCCCTTGTTTTCAGCTAATTTAAATGAAATCCAAAAAAGTCTGCATTTTAGGACAGACTACTGTAATATCACAGTAGAAATGTCAGTCACTCTTGAAAAGTTATTTTTGTTATATGCCCTTATTCTCAGAGGCTTATCTTGTACATGGAAAAAACTGGGAAGTGAAATCTTTATTGTTCATTTATTCTTAGCCTATAAGTGAAATTTTTACAAATAAATCTGACAAATTTCTGTTCAGTTCTGAGTTATTTACGCATGTGAAAAGTGTAGCAGTGTTTTGTGTGTGTGTTTGTTAAATATTGTGCATTTTGTGTTCAGGTTATTCTAAAACTTCACAACTGCTAAATTAATCTTAAAGTGGGTATAGTACTTTTGAAATAAAAGTTTATCAAAATTCTACCCTCAGAATCACATCCATAATACCTGCTAACTTCACAAGGAATAGGCTTATATAATAACGGAGGACAGAAAATCGTGATAATATTTTATTTGAAAAAATAGCAGGTAACACACCAAAATACACTGGTCTAGCTATGCACAAGCAATAGAACGTGTATACTAAACTGCCTACTAACTTGATATTGGTATGTAGATATCAAAGTGACAAGTTTGTAGAAATATCATAGATTAACTAAATTGGTCTAAGTAACCTTGAATATTCTGAAGCAAGTAATTACCGTAAAAGCCATAACTAAATATTCTGAAATTTGTGCCTTTAAATTCTAACAAAAAATGCTGTACAAGTATACTTTTTCCCCATTGGATTTCACAACTGTACAGGAAAATTGGTAGGGGAAAGACAGGGGTCCTACAACACATCTGTTTCAAAGTAGGGCAATCAGATGAAGGAAGAAGCGAATGGGATTTCCACTGAGTGAGTCCCCCCCCCCCCCCCCCCGGTGTACTGTAACATATTTTTTAACGTGGTACTTATTTTAAATGTTGCCACTAGTGATATTTAAATCCTATAAAAACTGAACTTCTGAATGCACCAAGTCAGCAAGCAAGTTTCATGTAAAATATGACTAACTGTAAGCCCTACTCTGAAAATGGAGTATAAAAATCAAATCTTTCATCTACGGATTTTTCTTAAGCCTAGAACATCTTAACAACATTATATATTATTTGTTAAAATGTGGGAAATAGGTAGCAAAAGTGTACCCAAGTTTAGAAGCACTGTCACCATTTTACATTATAGAATTTATCCTGATAGAATCTATAACTACTCTTCTTCTACACTTATCCAAAACTGCTTTTTTCCAAAGGTTTTGAATATCTCGGAAAACTCTTAGGAATTAAGGTACGATTGTTTATATGAACAGTCTTTTATCCCATTTTCTCCCCATCACCCAGAAGGTTTTGGTTTAATTTGAAAAAAAAAAATTACGAATGACTATTGTGTCTCCATAAACTATGAAATAGGATTTCATTATTGCTGTGCTACATCCCAAATTTTGATACAAGTGTACATTCATATAAATCAAATTATACTTTGGCTACATAGTAATCATTTTCTAACCCCACAGCTAGGCTAGGCAATTTCTTGCAAGTGATGAACCATTCATGGGACCAAGTTCTGACTTGAGATACTTATACACAATTTTCATTGTTGACTCCAACATACATATCTGAAAGAACTTGCCAAATACAGTTGTGAATATTTTCTACATGACACTAAAGTAGCTGGTATCTTCTGTTGCACTAGACGTTTTCTTCAAGTTTTATCATATTAACAAAGGACACTCTCTTACCACTGTTAGATTTCGAATCTCTTCCATGACCCGAGGCCAGAAAGACTGAAGACTTTGCTGAGCATCACTACTGCCAGACGCGCCAAAGCCACTATCTGTGGACATGGTGATAACTGGAGTAGAAGGGGGAGGAGAGAAAGGAATGTTAGTAGATATGGAAGAAACACTACATTCAAAGAATCCTAGAGTGTTTTCCTGAGGCATTTTGCAAAACTCTCCAACCAAAACAAGCTTCTCAGATTCAGAATTAAAAGGGTGTCAATATCTTATGAGATGCAAAAGGCTTGCAAACTTACTAGAATAAGCACCAATGAAAAACAGGATGAGCAAACAGGAGTTTCATCTGCTTTGAGTTATCTACATTTAAAAATTAGACTCCACTTAATTGAACAAATCAAGGAAACCATCATGCAACTACTACTCTGCATGAGCCCACACTTAGAGTTAAATGTACTTTTTAAATGACTGTTTCTGTACCTATTTGAGACCTGACAATTTCTGCGATTTTATAGTCCCATTTTCTCATTTTTTAAAAACACATCTCTCCCCTTGGGTGCTGTGTGAAAGATACAAACACCAAAAGAAACAAACTAAATACACAAAATAAAATTTAGAAAATAAACTGAAATTTAAATTGAAAAAGATTAAAGAAAAAGTAACAATATGTAGCAAAGGTCAAAAGGATAAGGGGGAGGGGGGTCAACGAAGAACTTAGACAAATTGATGGCCAATAAGTCCATCAATGGCTGTTAGCCAAGACAAGCATGCCATCCCAAATGCTGGGTGTCCCTAGTCTCTGACTGCCAGAAGTTGGGAGTGGACGACAGGAGATGATCAATGGATGACTGATTATTCTGTTCATTCCCTTTGAAACGACTTGATATTGGCCCTTCTTAGAATACAGGATACTAGGCTTGATGAATTATTGGTCTGACCCAGAATGGCTGTTTTTGTTTTGCATGTTAATTACAAAAGCAACTAAAGCATTTTCATCCAGAAGAAAGATTTTCGAGTTGAAGGTTATCTACTTACCTTTTTTGTATTTTATCAAAACTACTCATCATTTGGCACTTAGAACTGAAGTTTGGGAAGCAAATTCTGTTAAGGCTTTAGAACTATTTAGAACCTATTCTATGAATACCTTAAGTCAGGGCTACTCAACTTTGGAAGCCCGGAAACTCACAATGATACTCTCAGCACATGCGAGGGCCGCAACTTAAGTGTGGATGCATATACATGCAAATATATATGCAAATAGCTTCTTTCACACTGACGATGATAAATACAAAAATTAAGGCAAGACTACACAACACACAGGCCCCATTTAAGTTAGTTCTGCTGATATTAATAAAATGCAATATTTACCTGATTTCCACCCATATTACAGCAGTTTTAATGAGCAATGATAGTCTAGGAATTTAACTACTAAAATGCATATCAACAGAAAAGCATTCATTATGTTGACAACTTTTGTTTTAGTCCCCACCCGCGGGCCATGTGTTGAGCAGCTTTGCCTTAAGTTATAACTTGTACCTTAATAAGAGGTCAAATTTAAGATGTATGCTAAAACTCGCAATTGTGATCAATGAATACACAAAATATACAGCAACTGAATTCTGTCCCTTTTACACAATCACGGTGGAGAATAGGACAGACTGTCAGGCAGCTACGTAAAGTTTTAAAAAAACCTGAACTTGGGTTTACATGCCACTGAAATAGTATGAGCCAATCCTGTACCATTCAAGTAACTCCTTAATGAGGCTGCAGGATCAAGCCCTGCATGTGTGACTACAAACACACAAAGTATAACATTTAAGCCAGAAGTGACTAATGCTGGACAAGCCCAAGTATGCTCTTTAAATCAAATAGAAATAGTTTTCTAGGAAGGGGGGAAAGGCACTCGGCAAAGTACTCTAGAATGAGAGACAATCTAACAATCTTTAACACTCTAGCAAAGGAATGCTTAAGAAGCGCTGTGTTTACATACTAGAATCATTCCAGTTCTAATTGCATGGATGAATTACAGAAGTGTAGAACACTGCAGGACAGAACTCGTTATTCCCCAGGCGTAAAAAGTGTTTCAGGAAATGCCAGAAGAGTCATTGCTCATTTCCCAAGTGAACAAAGAAATTAAAAGTTATGCTAAAAGTTTCTCTTGGGCCATCCAAAGCTGCTTTGATGTTTCCATTTAAAAAAGCCACTCTTAAAAGTTCAGTTGGTTGTGGGGAGAGAAATTATGTGCTGCTTTTCAAAAGACAAATCTCAACATATGTAGTGATATTTGTGTCTGGTGATGTAATGGGAAAAGGCATAGGGCAAAACTTAGAGATGTCTTATTAGGCACAATTCCCATTCACTTTTGATCCAATGCATGTGATGACTTTTTTCCTGTCTCATCTTAAGCTGAAGCAGGAACAAAGTAATTTTAAAGCTTTATGTGGTGTGGTTTAGATTGCTGTCTCAGGAAGAATACTGGTGGGCTTTAGACCCATTGTGCCAAATGTAATAATTACTCTTCATAAAAGAATATTGTTAGAAAAGTCTAGAACATTCATGGCTTGTTTAGTACAAACTATCTAAACTGTACACTCTTACATTCAGTATATGTTGAAAAAAGTGCTGTGAATGCTTACTTTTTAAAAATTTGTTGGGATAGTTCGACAGGGCATAATATGACTACAAAAATAAGATTTAACCTATAAAATATTTGTCTATAATACACAAATGTTGCAATAATAGTAAGAGAAAAATAAGACAAACGCAGGTTATTCAATGATTCTAAGAGCACCCCATTTTCATAATTAAACGACCAATGACAGAAAAATCTTCAAATACTTAAAAGAAAACAAAAGTAGAAAAAAATATTTTAACTAAGCCTTGTAATTGAATTCTGAATTTGTGCATCTCTGCTTTGTAACAAACTAATCCTTGAGATTCATTCTGTGATGGGAACATACTCTTATGCAACTGAACTTGCATATAAATAATACTAAGACTGGATAGGAACTTTTCCCCAACTCATGATTCAGTTCAATCAGAAGGCAAAAACAACAGTTATGCAATCCATTTAATACCACAGTGAATTATAAACAGCAAGAAACAGAAAAGCAATATAAAACAAACCAAGAAAAAAAATACCAGCCACCAGGAAAACATCTATTTCTAAAATTTACATGGATATTACTAAATCAATTAGGTAAAAGCTGACTACACCTTACAGAAATACTATGAAGTAGCCTATGACCAAACTATGGATTTTAAATAGTCAAAAGTTCTCTCAAATACTAAAATAAAACAATTTTTAAATGATTATGTCATTAATGAAACTAGCTTAAACAAACACTGTGGCATTGTTTTTGTGTCTGAGTGTAAGAAAGAAAGTGATTATAACAGAAGGTGAAACTAACAAACTAAGCAAACAGTCCAATCTCATAAAAATTCTGAAAGTAGGCAAAGGGAAGATAAGTAACACTTCACCTCCCCCCTAAGTTTTACTCAAGGTGGCATGCACAAAATAGTTGAATAGATTAATATCTCGAAAGTACCCTTTTAAAATCATTACAGCCATATGAAATATAGCAAAACATCAGAGTTATGAACACCATAGTTACAACCAACCAACCACACACCTCATTTGGAACCAGAAGTATGAAATCAGACATTAGCAGGGACCAAACAAAACAAATACTGTACAATACTGTATTGAACATAATCTACTGAAAAAATAAAGGGAAAGTTTAAAAAAAGACTTGATAAAGTAAGGAAGCTGTTTTTATGCTTGTTTCATCAAAATCAAGATGACTGAAGCAGCATTTTTCTTCTGCATAGTAAGATTTCACAGCTGACTTAAGTCAATGTTCAGTTGTAAAACTGAACTTTGAAAGAATCACCATAACGTTTTGTGCAGTTATAAACAATCTCCATTCCCGAGATATTCATAACTGAGGTTCTACTGTACATACTTGCTTTTATGACTCATTATTTCTTAAAGTGAAATATGAACCAGATGAAGAAAAGTTGAGCTTCCTGAATCCTCTCAACATAGAAATGACAGTTTGATGCAAAAAGCAAAATGCAGATGAAAATGCTTACTGAACGTATAACTGCATCAAAGTGTACACCATTGCTGTTTTTAATTTACTAAGTTGTACAATTTAATTATTTAAAAATCCACTCCAACTAGACTGTTCAAAACGACAACCAACTGGTGAACAAGTTACTACATATTAGATAAGGAGGACAAGGAAGTGTTAAAGTTACACAAATGAAAAGCTTTATCCTCTATTGTCTGAATCGGCTAAAGCAAATTTTCTCTTGTATTCCATATATATTATACAAGTGATCACAAGCTCTTACAAAGAGCACAAAATAAGTTTTATCTAGTCATCTAAGACTTTAAAAACCCTTAAGTTAAAATCATATATTCAAAGTAAATAAATACAAGACCAATATTTCAGAATGCAGAATCAATAGCTTGATAGTTGACTCAAAGATAATTGCTACTTTAAATAACTGCTTAAGATAATTATTAGGAAACTACAAAGAGAAGGCAGTTTGAGATTAGTATAGATCTATTTATAATTATCTCCAGTAAAAAACATACAGCCAGAAATAAGACACACAGTGACTAATGGCTGATGTTTCTGTAAAGGAATGCTAGGCTGATAGAAACTATTTCAAACAAACTTGGATGTTTGTGTCTTCTAAGCAGGTTAGAACATCTTGAAACATTAATACAAGCAGTCATTGGCATAAGAAAAAAATATAAATTATGTTTGACTTACAAAGTCAGTCTGCAAAAGGGGGGAAAAATGAAGCAAGGGGGATTACATTGACCTAACCTTTCTCCTACAGTTTAATTAGGAGAAAGTCAATGGGGAGAAAACTGCCATTTCCCAAAGCCCATGTAACATTTTATCAAATTGATGAGTTTTCTACAATCTGAAGAACACTGATTAAAAGGAAAAGTTTACAAATCAGCCTTGAAAGGATACAACACCTGGCTCCGTCAGAGAAGGGATCAAGAAAAATATATTGATTTAGCTGAACTGGTAAACAGAAATGGATGTACTTAATTCTGTCCACACAAGAAATGGACTGCCCCCTTTGAACT